TCTTTCTTTCTCTCTCTCTTTCTCTCTCTCTCGCGCGCTCTCTCTCTCTCGCTCTCTATCTATCTATCTATTTATCTATCTATCTATCTATCTATCTATCTATCTATATTGGTGAAACATTACATTTGTTGGGTTGGGAGTGGTCGTTTGTACAGGTCATTGAATGGGCAAGTGGTCGTTAGAGCAGATTCGATTGTACTTATCTGAGTTTGTTAAATCTGTTTTCCACTCAGCTTTGAGAAACTGCAACAGGCGTATATTGAGGAGCACAAGAATCTTGGCCACCGCTACCACCGCATCTTTATTGCTCTAGTCGATGACACACCAGTTGGATTAGCTGAATTGAAGTTCTGTGGAGACAGGTGAGTGGGCACAGCGTGTGTTTACGCAGTCAGATGACCAGATTATTGGATAGGCCGGTTGGTGTACACAGTATAGTATAGTGTTTAATATGCAGTCAACTGACCGGCTTATTGGATAGGTTGAATTGAAGTTCCTTGGAGACAGGTGGGTGTACACAGTATAGAGTTTATGCAGTCAGATGACAACCAAAGCTTGTTGGATATGCTGAATTGACAGTTTTTTGTAGACAGGTATGTGTGTTCAGCATGATGAATGCTGTCAGATGACAGACCAGTTGGATAGGCCGGTGGGTGTACCGTACACAGTGTAGTGTTTGTGAAGTCAGAAGACAGTCAAAGTTAGCTGGATAGGCTGAATTGAAGATCCTTGGAGACAGGAGGGAGTACACAGTGTAGTGTTTATGCAGTCAGAAGACAGGCTAGTTCGAGACGTGCGTAATTATGCACGTCTCGGACTAGTTGGATAGGCTGTATTGAAGTTCCATGGAGACAGGTGGGTGTGCACAGCAAAATGTTTATGCAGTCAGATGACAGACTAGTTTGGTAGGCCGGTGGGTGTACATAGTGTAGTGTTTATGCAGTCAGATGACAGCCAAGACTAGCAGGATAGACTGAATTGATGTCTCAAAAGTTCTGCATTAAAAGTGACCAGTGTGATTATTTGTTTTGTTTGTTTTGTTTAAGTAGAGTTTTTACGGCGCTCGCAACTGCACAAGGTCATATGAGCGCCAGGGGGTGGATGTTAACAAAGAAGT